ATGCAAAAATCCTCAATTAGATACTGGCAAACAGAATGCAGCAAATCATCAAGAAGGTTATACATCATGACCAAGGTGGATTCATCCCAGGGATGCAAGGATGGTTCAACATATGTAAATCAATAAACATAACAAACTATATTAACAGAGCTAAGGACAAAAACCATACGATTCTCTCCATAGATGCAGAAAAAGCATTTGACAAGGTCCAACACACATTCATAAACCCCTACAGAAAATTGGTACAGATAGTCTTTCTCTCAATCTGGTAAAAGCCATCTATGACAAACCAACAGCCAACATGATACTAAAATAAAAACTGAAAGCTTTCACTCTAAAATCAGGAACAAGACAAGGATGTTCACTGTCACCACGCTTGTTCAATACAGAAATAAAAGGAATAAGGATGGGAAAGGAAGAAATTAAATTATCATTATTTGTGTATGACATGACACTCTACATAGAAGACCCCAAAAACTCCACGAAGACACTTCTTGATTTGATAACCAAATTCAGTAGTGTATCTGGATACAAAGTCAGCTCTCAAAAATCAATAGTCTTTCTGTACACAAATAACAAACTCACTGAGAGAGAAATTGGGCAAACAGCCCCTTTCACAATAGCATCCAAAAAAATGAAATAATTAGGAATCAATCTAATGAAGGAAGTAAAAGACCTCTACCTTGAAAACTACAGGACTCTGGAAAAGGAGATTGAAGAGGATATCAGAAAACGGAAAGATATCGCTTGTTCTTGGATAGGAAGAACCAATATAGTGAAATTGGCCATACTTCCAAAATTGTTATACAGATTTAATGCAATCTCGATCAAAATTCCAACAACATACCTCACAGAATTAGAAAAACCAATCCTAAAATTCATTTGGAACCAGAAGAGATTTAGAACAGCAAAGGGGATTCTTTTTTTTTGGTACTGGGGATTGAACTCAGGACCTTGTGCTTGCCAGACAGGTGCAGTGCCACTGAGCTAAATCCCTGGCCCTGCAAGGGCAATTCTGGGCAAAAAAGGCAAGGCAAGGACCATCACAATCCCTGACCTGAAATTATACTAAAAAGCTACTGTGATAAAAACAGCATGGTACTGGCAAAAGAACAGACCTGAGGATCAGTGCAACAGATTAGAAGATGCAGAAGCAACGCCAGACATATTCAGCTACCTTATCTTTGACAAAGGGATCAAAAACCTTCACTGGAAGAAAGATAGCCTTTTTAACGAATGGTGCTGGAAAAACTGGTTTTCCACAAGCCAAAGATTGAAACTAGACTCATATCTTTCACCATGCACTAACCTAAAGTCTAAATGGATGAAAGATTTAAATATTAGGGCCGGGGATTTAGCTCAGTGGTTCCGCTGCCTGCCTTGAAAATGCAAGGTCCCAAGTTCAATCCCTGGTACCAAAAAAAAAAAAAAAAGATTTAAATATTAAAACAGAAATGCTAAATCTGCTGGAAGAGAGAATTGGTAGAATGCTTGAGGACTAGGAGTAGGCAAGGACTTCATGAACGAAACCCAGTCACTGGAAATATTACAAAGAATCAACAAGTGGGACCTCATCTTATTAAAAAGCTTTCTGCACAGCAAGAGAAACCACCAACAGAGTGAAGAGACAACCCACAGTGTGGGAAAAATTTTTTTCCAGCTCTTCCTCAGATAAAGGACTACTATCTAGAATATATAAAGAACTCAAAGAAAAAATTGGACCCTCAAAATTAAAAAGCCCAATCCAAGAATGGGCATATGAAATGAAGAGACACTTCTCAGATGAAGAATTAGAAATGGCAAATAAATATATGAAAAAAATGTTCAATATCACTGGTCATTTGCGAGATGCAAATTAAAACAACTCAGATTCCATCTCACTCCACAAAGAATGGCTATTATTAAGAAATCAACCAATAACAAATGCTGGAGGGAATGTGGGGAAAAAAGGAACCCTTCTCCACTGTTGGTAGTAGTATAGACTGGTGCAACCACTGTGGAAATCAGTGTGGAGAGTCCTCAAAACACTAAAACTGGAGGTTCCATACAATCCCACTATTCCTCTTCTTTGCATCTTCTCAAAAGAATGAAAAGCATCTTACCATGGTGATATATGCACATCCATGTTTATAGCAGAACAGTTCATAGTAGCTAATTCTTGGAAACACCCCAAATGTCCATCAACTGACAAATGGATAAAGAACATGTTTTTTTTTACATAATGGAGTACTATTCTGCTATAAGGAAGGACGAGTTTCAGCCATTTGTAGCTAAATGGATACACCTTTAGACCATACTCTTAGGTGGAATAAATCAGACACACATTTAAATACTGCATTGTTGAGACAGGAGTGGTGGTGCACACCTGTAATTCCAGTACTTGGTAGGCTGAGGCAGGAGAATCACTGCAAGTTCCAGGCCAGTCTGGGCTACATAGTGAGTTCAAAGACACCTTGAACTACATAGCAAGATCCTGTTTTTTTCCAAAAAAAAAAAGTTTCGAAAATACTGCATTGTTTCTCTTGTGTGAGAAATTGAAAAGAGGAAATAAGGACTAAATGTGTAATAGATATTGGGAAATGGGAAGAAAATGTTCAAATGGCAAAGGGAACAAGGGAGGGACGAAGGAGAAAGGAAGGAAGGGACAAGAAAAAAAAGTGAAAAAAGGAGGAAAAAAATGAAAACAAAGTTTTTTTTTTTTGTTACCAGGGATTGAACTTGGGACCTTGCACTTGTGAGGCAGGCGGCGGAACCACTGAGCTAAATCCCAGGGTGGAAACAAAGCTTTTATACATAGGGAGGGGAGCAGGGCTTGAGGGAAGGGGGGAAAATTGGAAAAAAAGGGCCAAGAGGTATTGTGTACAGGCAGAAATTCCCCATGATGAGTGTTATCATTATGTACATCTAAAATGTACCAATAAATGTTTCGCTATTAAAAAAAAAGAAATAGCTGGGGATTTAGTTCTGTGGTTCTACTGCCTGCCTCGCAAGTGCAAGGTCTCGAGTTTGATCCCTGGTACCCCCCCAAAAAAAAGAAATATTATAGGCAGTCATATAGGAAGGGGGAAAATAAAGAAAAAAAAAAGTTCTGTGCCAGGTGTGGTAGAACATGCCTGTAATCCCAGCTACTCAGGAGGTGAAGGTAGGAAAGTTTCCAGTTCAAGGCTAGCCTGGGTAACTTAGTGAGATCCTGTATCAAAATAAAAAAATAAGAACTAGGGAGGTTGCTCAGTGGTAGTGTGCTAATCCCTAGTACTGTATGAATAAATAATTAAGAGTCTTGGTTTTTTGTAGTAAGTGATGATAGGAACACCACAACTGATTGGGCCTGATCTACGAGCAGAAGCCTTGGCAAGGTAAGTTACCTTGGGCACCTTGAGGCCCAGGTCACTAAAATACTATGGCTGCCTCACTGCTGAGAAGACCTTGTCAGAGAGGCTTGAGCTTTTCAGATGCTCCAAAAGAAAATTGAAGGGGATGTAAAAAGAATTAAGATGTGTTTTGTACATGTCCCAACCCCCATGATGAATGTAATCGTCATGTACTGCAAACATGTACTAATAAAAATAAAAATAAAAATAAGAAAACCACTGCTGGAGCCATGCTTTTCTAGTAGTGTTCAGGACTGTAAAGCCCTCTAAGAGCCTCAGGAAGAGGCATAGAGAATGTAGAAGTGTGCCAGTCACAAGTCTATCTGCTTTCCACTCCTCCAGGGGCTTGCTCTGGTCCTGATTTTGCGCAAGGAGGATGTCTTAATCCAAAATGAGTGAATATTCTATTTTCTCCTGTGCTACAGGCTGAATAATCCCTAATCCAAAAATCTGAAATGCTTCAAAATCTGAAACTTTGTTTTGTGATGCTAGAGATTGAACTCAGGGTCCCATGCATGCTAGGCAAGTGCTCTATTGTTTGGCTATACCCCTTGCCTAAAATATGAAAATTTAGGAGCATGATGTTGGCATTTAAAAAGTTTCATATTTCAAAACATTTCAGATTGAAAATTTTCTGCTTAGAGAAGTTCAACTAGCAATGCAAATACTCCACAACTTATGAAGCTATGAAATCTAAAACACTTCTGGTCCCAAGCATTTTGGGTGAGGGATATGCAACCTACCAGTAAATGTAATCGAAGAAAAACCAAACTCCAGTTGAGGGTAAAAGAGTGACAGATATTTAAAACTAGAATTGAGCCAGAAAATCTGGAATGAAGGTGACTATGGCTCAGTCAATGCACAAATAAACCCTTATAACCCTGGCTAGTGCATCTGAGGCTTCCCATCCTTGCAGTTTCCTAGGCCTTCCAAAGATTCTACTTGTCTGTTCTTTCTATTATCCCCACTGGCTCTTTCATCTACGCTTATAGGCTTGCAATAGTTTCCTAGTTTCTTCCCAATAGCATCCTACATCTTCATCTGGGTGGTGTATACAGGCACATAGTCATTGCCTCTCCACTTAAGATGTATGGATTTTACTATGCCTCTAAGCATTTTAAAGAAATAGCTCTCCAAGGCTAAGGATGTAGCTCAGTGGTAGAATGCTCACCTAACATCCACAAGGCCCTGGGTTTAATCTCAGCCTCATTAAAAAAAGTCTCCTCCCTTATCAAAGAACTTTGCATTACAGAATCAAAAGAGATAGTTATGCAACCTATGTAATCAAATTATATGAATCATAGGGCGGGGATTTAGCTCAGTGGCTCTGCCACCTGCTTTGAAAGCGCAAGGACCCAAGTTCGAGCTCTGGTACCAAAAAAAAAAAAAACCAAAACCAAAACAAAAAAAACCAAATTATATGAATCATTTCTCTAGGTTAAATGGAAGAAATAGGCTATAAGACCAAAGGAACACTATGATTACAATGATGAAAACACTATAAAAAGGGAAAAACTAAATTTTTAGTTTGTGCACTACAGTAGGTAAAGTGTAGGCCTGAAAGTTTTGGCTATTCACACTAAACCTACTTCTATTACTTTATATCCAGATGGAGGAAGCTATACTCACCTGCTGTTGGATTGGGGAGCAAGCACGCCATTCTGTTCAGCTGATGTCTCTGCTGGTTTGGATTTGAAGTAATTGACAAACCCACCAAACACACTCTTAATGCTGTTGATGTGCCTCTGGCTGGTCTTCAAGTCTTGATCCATCTTGTCTACCATCTTCTCTGTGCGTTCCAGGACTCCTCGCTGTCGGACCAATTCCTGGGAAAAATAAGAAGCAGTGGGATTATTTATACCTTTTGGTCCCCTCTTTCCCTCAGTAGGTCCTTCATAAACACTCAGGGAACACATATGGAGACCGACACTTTCTGACAATATTCCTTTGTCTCTCCCTGCCTACCCTACCTCTACTTGCTTTCTTTGTTCTCAAGTCCCTTTGCCAAAGAGGTTGGCTCACAGGACCACAATGAGGTGGATGGGGGGTGTGCCTGTGGGAATCAAGAGTCCAGGACAGCAGAGTCTCTTTATTCCCCCACAGTCCTAATATAACCCTTACAAGCTTAGACCTAGCACTGACCCCTGGACTTTGGTCCTTGTACTCTTTCTGTTTAGACATGGGAGTTTTCAGTGTGCCACCTACGCCTACTACTACCCCAGTCAAATCTTCAAATTCTATCTCATGATCTTGAGTCCTATTAGTGTCAGAATATAGTCTGTCCATAGTTTCAGCTTTTTAAAAAAGTTTTTTTAGTTTCAGCTTTAAAACCTGTAACAAATATTACTTTTTCTGCCTGTGTGGCTCAGTCTCTCATTTAATTCAGGTCTCCATCAGAAGCCACCTTTTCAGAGAGGCTGTTTCCAAACATTCTCTGGAGTAGAGCTCCTTTCAACAGCTCTCCCCTCTTCACTCTCCAGTCACTTTGGTTCTTCACTTTGGTTCAAGAAGCACAGAAGCTTCTTGAGGCAGGGACTTGTTTTTTGCTTGCTGCTATGTCTCCAGTACCTAACTCAGCAGCTGCTTGCTGTGTACTGGGGTCACAAGGACTGTAGTGGTAATTTAATGGAGACTCAATTTATGCAGCACTTACAGCTTATATGTTGATCAATTGAATGTAGTCAGGAGCAGAGGAGAAAGGTTTCTATCCACACTGACAGATGAATAGCATTGCCCATATTCCTGCAGAGCTGATAGTTCTGGATGCAGATATGAACTCACCACAACAGCAACACTAATGTGCTCCTTTATGTGTACTGAACTTGTTTGAGTCCCTATTTATTTCACAATGCTGAGGATCTAACCCAAGGCTTCATGTGTACTAGGCAAGAGTCTACCTTTCAGCTACATACCCAGCCCTTCCATCCCTCTTTAAAGATTTACCTGCAGTCATTCCAGCTGTCTCTCCTGTGAGCTGCCTTCTAGTCAGAAGACTCTTTTTCTTTTTGAGACAGGGTCTCACTATGTAGTCCAGGCTGGCCTTGAACTTACTGTGCTCTTCCTGCCTCCACCTCCCAAGTGCTGATTACAAGTGTGCAGAAGACTCTTAAGCTTTATTTTTTCCTATTTGATAAGATAGCCTCTGGGCTCCACTCCCTTCCTCTGACTCTTCTATCCCTATGGATTAACAATTATCGTTATTTTTTTGAGGTACTAGGGATTGAACCCAGGGGTAACTGAGCCACATTCTCAGCACTTAAAAAAACATTTTTTTTTTTTTGATACAGGGTCTTGTTAAATTGCCCAGGTAAGACTGAAACTTGCAATTCTCCCTCCTCAGCTTTCCCCAGTGCCATTGTGCCCAGTTTAGCAATTATAGTAATCATGCAAATATATTTTCAGAGCTGTCTCTCAAAGACAAAGTCCTGCTAGCCATGGTGGTATAAACTTGTAATCCCAGAACTTTGGGAGGCTGAGGCAAGAGGATCCTAAATTCAAGCTCAGCCTGGGCAATTTAGCAACACAGTCTCAAAAAAGAAGGAAGGGTCCAGATGTAGCTCAGTGGGAAGGCCCTGGGTTAGTATCACAAAAACTAACAAACAACACAAAGAACAAAATCCTAAACAAATTTTAGTTATTCTGAAAATTCTATTTATTTATTTAATTTTTGAGACGGGTCTTACTAGATAGTTCAGGACAGCCTTGAACTCACTATGTAGCTCAGGCTGGCCTCGAACTTGTGGCAATCCTCCTGCCTCAGCTGCCTGAGTACTGGGATCACACATGTGCCACCATGCCTGGCTCTAAACAAATTTTAAACATGTACACTGGAAATTTAAAAAAATGATTCTTATTTTAAATTCAAAGCTGAGACAGTCTTTTCTGGAATAAGGCAGAGCTACAAATTAGTATGAAAATGGTTTTCTCTAGCATCCAATTGTCAGTTTTAAATTGATTTTGATATCATCTTTCCTGTTTTTCTTTTTTGCAGTACTGGGGATTGAACCCACAGCCTTTAAATAAGCTACATCCGCAGACTATTTTGAGACAGGGTCTTGCTATGTTGCCTAGGCTGGACTTGAATTTGCAATGCTCCTGCCTCAACCTCCCAATTTTGGGATTACAGGAAACTACCTCCATGCCTGGCTCCTCCTTTCCTCCTTGTGTGTGCGTGCTGCTCAGGATTGTACCCAGGGCCTTATGCACGTTAGACAAAGGCCCTATCACTGAGACACACCCTCAACCCCTTAGTTGATATCTATCTATATCTTTTTTTTTTTAAAGAGAGTCTCCTTATGTAGTTCAGGCTGGCCTTGAACTATGTAGCCCAGTCTGGCCTCGAATTCCAGGTGATTCTCCTGCCTCAGCCTCTCAGGTTCTGGGATTACAGGTATGTACCACCATGCCTTGTTTGGCTTATTTCTAATTGTCCAATCCTAGCTTATTTATTTATTTTTTTAAGCTTATTTTGTAGCAGGTAGAAAACATGAATCTGAGCTGGAAAGATCTTTACAGGAGGAGAGGTTTTGGGGGGTGGCCAAGGCTTATAAGGAAGGTCCCTGGTTTCTCTAACAGTGAGCACTTCCCATCTTGACTTATCTAACAAATCACTCATTTTCCTGCCTCAGTTTCTGGGTAACAAGTAGCTGACAAAACCTCCTCCAATTTGCAATGACATCTCATTTTCTGCTCATAAGTGACACATTCTTTTAGACTCTCAGAGGTTCTGTGTTATGTTTATTTGGTGGGAAAACCAGACATCTGATGCGGATGTTATAACAGAAATGTAGAGAAGTGCCTTATTCTGTGTGTGCAGCTCAAAGGCCAGGGGAAGGAGTGCTGCCCTGGTCTCTGGAAGTTTCTGTGTGCTGGAAGCTTGTGTTCCCTGAAGGTCATGAGGTCAACAAAGGAGGAAGGAATTCATCAAAATCCCTTCCAGGAAGGCAGAGGAAATGACTGAACTCATTATGTTAGTGATTTAGTTCTAGACAACAAGGAAGAAGTAGAGAAAATAGCAAGGAAGCACCAGGGTTTATAAGAATGAGCTGGTCAAGCCCTGGCACTCCAGGCATTTTGAAGACAGGTCTCAAATGCTTCCAGAAGGCATGCTCCCATCTTCTAGGAGCAGGCCATGTCCTATCATCTCCTTCTGTTCCTGTGAGAATAAGGTCACTGAAGTGACTGGATTGGTTATGAGAGAACTGAGCTCTGGAAAACGTCCTCTGTGTTTAGGTTCAGCAGGCAAAGTGCTTACTTTACATTACAGGTGATCAGGTGATTTCCACCCTACTTCCCTGAGCCCCAAAAGTAGTTTCCTAAAGTTAGAAGTGGAAAAATAAGAAGGTCAGAGAAAGAATCTGGTTGGGCTGGTAGTA